TATAAAGGGTAACACATGTGGATATATTTGTAAATTCCATTGTACAAGTATATGTGCTCTGTATGTGTCTTTTCATTATCTGACATTCCGTCCTGGTAGCATAGTAATTATGTATGAGCTGGGCTGCTAACCGTAAGGTCAGCTGTTTGAATCTAAGGGTTGCTACATGGGAGAAAGATGAGATTTTCTGCTTCTGTAAAGATTTACAAGCTTAGAAACCCTATACAGGGTCATTATGAGTCGGAACGGGCTCAACAGCACACTGTCAACCAGCCAGTCACTAGACTAATGGGATCGATGAAAACATTTGCTCCGGAAGACAGGTAAAGAAGAAATGGTGTCAATGAAAGCATTCTACTCTATTAAATATAGTTGATAGCATTACTTATTGTCATCTTTACAAAAAATTATTGTCATTATCATTGATATCCTTATTAATGTAATGAATTGAGTCTGCATACTAGTCGTGAATATTTTTTCTAAACTATACAATTCTCAATCTCACTATATAGACAGGAAAATATTGAGGAAACTTACAGAGTAATTATATAGTTTAAAATTATGCATGTAAAATATGAAATTTTTAAAACAGAAAAGGATTTTTAATTAAATCTACAAGCATATAATTGAAAATATTCAGTTATATAATGGGTTTGAATCTATTGTGGTAGATGATGTTATTCATTATAATTTAACATCTGAAACATTTTTATTTAAGACATAAATGAAAATATATTTAAGTAAGAAAAATAAGTCTTCATAATGTAAGCCACAGATTAATTTCAAAGGGAACATTCAATATTTAAATAGTTTGTATTAGACAAAGTAATGTAAGGGTGGCTCAGCATCCAACAGTGTTTCCTTCTGTTGTCCCTAGGGTAGCTGTGAGTCGGAACCAACTCCATGGTCACAACAGCAACACAAATTTTGAGTAACAATGAAATGACAGTCAACTAAAAAGAAATGGAAAATAACAGAATAAATAGGATCAAGTAGGGCTTGGTCTGAGAATGAGCTGAATGTCTTATGACCAAGGGAGCCTTACTCTTTTAATATCACATACATGACTGAAAGATGAAGAAACTCACCATGGTGGCTTGCTTGGGAGCAAAGGGAAACTATGTATACGTTGTTCAATACTGTGAATGTACTTTCAGTGATAGTCATTTTTGTACTTTCCCGCAAAAGTATTTAAATATCAGTTAGTGTATGTGAAAATGTATGAATGGCACTTTGTTTCATATAAGGATAAGGGTCATACCATTTCCAATTATCATGAGTGTTGGTTATGTTTTCTTTTCATGAAAGTGTAACTCCATCTATGAGCTAGATAATGCAGAAGGAATGTTCATTTCACACCAAAGAAGTGCTTGTAAAATGAAAAGTTACATTAATTATTAAAAACAACCTCGATAATATTTTCCTAATTAAAATAATATACATGTATACTTAACAGATAAAACCTACATATTATTTTCAATGTACTAAGGGCTTTTACCCATACGTTGAAAAAGTTTAAACATATTAAAAACCTTGTTCTAATGGTAAGTAGGAAAGGACAACTGGGCTTAGAAAAATAGGAAATAATCTTGGGGTTGGAAAATTATAAAAAATGATTGATGCATCATCAGTGCAATTAGACAATTATATTGACATAAAAAGTCATATAAATAGAAAACAAATGTAGAGTGCATGGAAAAATAAAAAGAAATTGATTTAAATGTGGCACATTTATCAGTTAGCGTTCCATAAATCTTTTTGAATTAAAATTCTCAATGTGGAAACATAAAAATAAGTAAACTGATTATTAAAATAAGTCATTTTTTCCAATTTTGTGATCTGAAATTGTATTATATTGAATTTTAGACTTAACACAGATGCTAAACATAGGTAAGAATAATATAATGTTTTTATTAATATGTGTTTTAAAGCTATTTTGTCTTTTTTTTTTTTTTTACCTTTATCACAGATGCTATAAACATAGCTAACAATATAATGTTTT